TGTTTTTGCTGCTCAGCAGTGCACGTACAGCTAATTTCTTTATACAGTATGTTAGTTTGTTTCATTCTATATTTAAACATGTAACTTAACAAACAACTTTACCTGCTTTAAGCTTTGAGACTCTTTCTATTTATTAATGATAATAACAACTTTGATGGAGTCAGATTAATTACAATAAAGTCAGATTAATAATGGATTTAAACACGCCTTCTGTTTCCGATTATTGGTTCAGAATAGCAGCGTAAGCTCCAAACCTTACAGCTATGTTTCCATCCAAAAATGCCAATTAAATTAATTTGCAAAACTGGAATATCGCATAAAAAATATGCAAATAAATCAGTGTTGTCGGGCGACGAGGAGGCACAGTAGGTGGTGCTGTCGCCTCACAGCAAGAAGGTTGCTGGTTCGAGCCTCAGCTGGGTCAGTTGGCATTTCTGTGTGGAGTTTGCATGTTCTCCCCAAACTGGCGTGGGTTTTCTCTGGGTGCTCCGGTTTCCCCCACAAGATCAAAGACAAGCAGCATTACACTGTTTTAAGGATCTAAAAATGTATTCTTTAAAAAGCAAAAAGATTCCAATAGCGGCGCCTGCTGGTACGTGAAGAATATGGTCAATACTGATAAACTTAACATCATATAGTTTAGAATACTGTACAATGTTTTATAATAATTAATTATTTTAGTGTCCATTTTCATTCAGCATATTTAAAATTAGAGTCATCCACGTTTTCTGACATACTTTAAATCAGGGTTTCTACAGGTGTCACCAAGTTAAATTTAAGACTTTTAAAGACATTTTTAAGACCAATATGAATGAAATTTTAGAATAAGGAATTTTTCAAATGGCCCAGAAGAAAAGGTTTTTTATTTGTCCTTTCAAAAAATATTTTTTATAAAAAATGTTTAATAATACAATAATAAATCAAAACTAATAATAACATTAAAATACTTTAGATATTTCTTAGCAAAATATCTTAAATATTGTGTAAAAACAAGAGAGCTCGACTTGGATCCACACACTTTTTTTCCAAAATAAACTTTCTTTAAAATAAAAAAAACTAATTAACAAATGTTTTAAAAGTTTTAAAAACTATAATAAACTGAATCCATTCAAAACAATCTGTCCAGGTGGACATCCTCAGCAGTCTTTACCATTATGATAAACAGAGTTAAAATGACCTTTTTAAATAAAAGTTGAAAGTTTTATTGAGATGGATTGTTGGTGATTGTATGGGCTTTGACCAAATTGAGTAACAAAACAAGACCTACAACACAACATTTCAGCAAATTTAAGATTTTTTAGGGCCAAATTTTAGATTTTGGAATTTAAGACATTTTAAGACTCCGCGGAAACCCTGTTTAAATACAATAGCCCTGGTAATTAGTTATTATAATAAAGATTTAATTCTAACTCTGATACTATCTGTGAGAACTAGTAACAACTACTAGAAACAAGTTTAAACCCATAAAGAAGTCGATTAAAAACAAGGGTATTGTGATCAACCTGACATATGCAAATGGAAAGTACCTAGCTAACACTATCACTGTAATGGCAGATATCTTTTATGAGAATACTGTAGGTCAAATATCCTCAGCTCAGTTTAACTTTTTATTAATTTATTGTTTTCATTTATTTTTTATAGCGACAGTGCTCAAGGGCGCTTTACACAGTAGGAGAACAAGAAAAGCAATAACCTTAAGAAGGTAGAGAAAATGGGAGACTAATAATACATAATGACAAAAGACATGAGAACAAGTAACAAAAGAAACTCATTCCTGTCTTTCAATGAGTGCTTATGTGCATTTAGCAGAACTAGGCAGCACACTCAGGGCTGCAACATGGATTTAATTTAGTATTCTTATTATTAAAATATATCTAAATGAAAACTAACTTGTTTGTTCCTGCGGATCTTCCTGTTTGACTGTGAATGTTTCTTCAATCTTCACATCTTCACTCTCCTCTTTAATAAACGCCATCTTTATAACAGTGTGGAGATCAGTCGCTTCAGCAGGAGTTTTTCTTTGTGTTTGGACACTTTATTCTGTTTAAAATGAACAAAACAATGAACAGAAACAAAATAACTTCTCTTCAACACTTTCTTCAACAGTTTCTTTATATGAGTGTGATTGACAAAAATAAATCAGGTAAGTCTGAGCAAGAAACAATAGCCACAAACAAATGACCTAATAAAAACTAGTTCTCCATTTATTTATTTATATATATATATATATATATATATATATATATATATATATATATATATATATATATATATATATATATATATATATATAAATAATTATAATGTATACTTGTATTGGAATGACATTATGCTAGTAAATAAATAAACCTTCATTAAAACACATTTCAGTTGTTCAAACAATAGCCCTCGATTACTGTTATTAAAATAATACTTCGTTGTATAAAGGATTAAAATAATAGTCAACCGCAGGTATATAATATCGAAAGGAAAACCTGAAACTTTAATCAATCGGTTTATATTTGTGTAAAGTTGTGAAACAAACCTTCCTCCGGTTGAACCGCAGCGCGGAAGCGGCGCAGCCTTATGACGTCACATAACACGCCAAAATAAAAGTCTTTGTTGTTCAGCTTTTTTGCCACTTACTGTTGCAGTCAGGACTTGACAAATTTCACACTCCTTTTCACATAACATATCTGCTCTCTCTTTCAAATACACAGACATTCAGTATTTGAAGTTGATCAAAACTTTTAATCCAAACATTTTTACACAATTTTGAAAAACTTGTTTAATCCACTAAGAATAAGTGTTTTTTTTTTCTCGTTTTTATTGTTGCATAAAGTTTACATCACAAGACAGAACAATCAACATCGCAAGACATATTTACCATTACAAATATATAAAATAAATTAAAAATGTTACAACTGCAACAAGGAGCAAGAAGCAGTACAAAAGATCTACATCAAAGGACAAACAAAATTTTCTAACAATAAATATTATGAAAATGAAGTACAGAGAGCTTCAGTTATTTTACTTTGGTTTCTGAAATATTTGAGGCTTTGAGCCACTTTCTTTACCTCAGAAAGAAAACATCTTAAAGAGGTTCAGCATTTTTTCCACTTACAGCAATGAATTTGATATTTACCCATTAGTAAAATAAAGATCACAACATCAGAGAAAGAACAATGTAAATCAGCTTTGTAAAATAAAATATCTTCTAGAACAATAGGGGGGACTGAAATCATCTTTAATGAAAGCCAAGTATGGATGTCAAACCAGAATTTAAAAGTAAATTCACAAGAAAAACATAAGTGATCGAGTGTTTCTGGAGCAGATCTACACTTGTCAACATCAAAGTTAAATCTTTTTTGAATAAACTAATTCACAGGATATATCCTGAATACAATTCTGTAATGAGTTTCCTTAACCTTTGGTGCTACAGGATATTTAAGAGAAAAGGTAAAAGCTTTGTCCTCTATAAGGGTTTAACAACTCCTAGATGATCACACTTCAAATCACCAATGATAAGCGTTTAAATTGTTTGTAAATAAGCTTGATGTTACATTTACCATCGAAAATATCAACATTTGATATTTTTAAAAATGTAAGGAAAGTTACAAGTATACATGGGAGATTAAAACAATTACTTTGAATTAACCTATACAAAGCAATAGGTATAGCCTCGCAAATTTCAGTATAACCTTTATGTGTGATTTTAACTCTATAATTATTTAATAATCCGTTTTGAGATAGTAGCAGTCCATTTTCATCTAACAAATCATTAATAAATATAATGCCTTTATTGTATCAGTCACTTTTAAACAATGATTTTCTGTTAATAATAACAGCCCTTTTATTCCAAAGAGTGGATTTATGAGGGGAAAAATATGGGTAAATATAATTTTCCAAAAAAGTAGTGCTTGCTTATGAAAATTAGACAGCGTCAAAGGAAGTTTTGAACAATCATAATCATATCTTAATACAAATTCAATGCCAACAATTTTTTAAACAAATTATTTGGGATATGATACCATATTGAATAAGGCTTAACTAAACACTCTTTCAATCATTTAACTCTAAAAGTGCCATGAAGACATTCAAAATCGATAGCTTTTAAACCTCCATATTCATACTCTTTGATCATATGATTCTTACGTAAATAATGTGATTTATTTTTCCAAATAAATTTAAGTAATATTGAATTTATAGATTTAACTATTTTGGGAAGAGTATAAAGGATAAGTTAAATATATAATTTTAGATAATCCCAGTCAAAAGAATTTTACCCTATATGGAAAGGTCTCTAGCTAGCCAATAATTTAAGGATTTTTTTCACGCCATCCATTTTAATATTAAAATTTGCACATTCTCTATTAACAGAATTTTTGGTGATGGTAACTCCCAAGTATTTAACTTCTTCTTTTACTAGAATACCCTCTTATTCTCTTAAAGTACAATTCAAAATAGTTAATATTCCACATTTTCTTAGGTTTAAGGTGAATTCAGAAGCTTTAGGAAACAGAAATTTTGACAAGAGCTAAAGGGAGCACCTCCCTTTTTTTAAGAATTAATAGTGTCATCAGCAAACTGACTTAAACTAAAAGTCCTACCAGGTATATCAATACCTAAAGTGTACTCTGAATTTTTTAAATATAATGACATAAGTTCAACAGCTTTATTAAAAAGAAAAGGTGAGATGGGACATCCTTCACTCAAAAAAATGATTCTTGCCTGTAATTGAAATTAAGCAAACAATTTAAATAAAGTTTGTTTAAAAAAGTATAAAATAACTATTATTGTTTCAAATTATGCTGTCTCAACATGAATTTAATGGACTCGAAACAAACCTGCTCAAATTACATAAACTATACTTAATTGGTTGCCGTAAAGAGCGAATGCAGAGGTTGCGCATGCACGTAATTTAAAAACACTGAAGGCGCCAGGACGGGCATGCGCATCGCTTAGGAACACTGAAGGCGCCAGGACAGGCATGCGCATCGGTTAGGAACACTGAAGGCGGGCTAAGCGCGAGGAAGACAACGGTAGCAGAGAAGTGACAGTGAAGATCTGATCGGGAGAGTATACAAGGTAAGATATTTTCTTCATTTGTGATTGATGTGTAAACTATTTTAAGACGTGATTCTTTTATGCGATTGATATTGATTCATCGTCACATAGCGAATTAACTGACATTGGATATTTTCGGCCGTCACTTGCATTTTTAAAATTAACCATCGTTTGAGTAAGTTATGTGTATCCTTTTTCAGTGAAGCAGATTGCTTGCATGATTTAAAAAACAAAACAGAAAAATTTTGCATCATTTCGACGTAATTCACTTTGCAAGCACGTTGACTATTTTTACAGTCTATGGTTAGAACACGTTAAACTTTATAATTTCTAGTAAAATTATCATTTCTAGTAAAATATATTAATCTGTTATCACCTATCTGCAATTTGGGTCACTTTAAGCTATATATGGTCTACTATATTCATCTTAGGAAGACTGCACTTGTAACGTAACTTAATAATAATAGATTAACGTTAATGTTAGCAATCTCCACGTAACTTTATATTTCTCATGTTTATGCTTTAAAAATATGACGAAGCGTTGTACAAACTCGACATTATTTGAAAGTTGCATGTACAAGATTGTTGGATTATGTCATACTAAAGTCGTGTACTGGAAGTGAAAAATGTAACGTTAACGTTAGCAGCTACTTGTAAATGTTTATTTAAAACATATTGTGTATGTAAAAGTTAGTTGATCGTGCAATTTTTTTTTTTATTTAAAAAAATGTAATTTCATTACAAAACTCTAATTATATGTCATTTTTACCATTTCAGAGATCTCATCGTTGTGACATTCCACATTGTCTCCAGTTTGGGACAATCACTCAATTACAGTAAGTGTTTTTGTTTATATATATATATATATATATATATATATATATATATATATATATATATATATATATATATATATATCTTGTTTTATTTTGTAAAATTGTTACTTTTCTCACACTCACATGTTTTACTTTTAGATATGTGAGTCTTGAGAATGTGGCAATGTAAAGTGTGTGGCACAGAAAGTATCCAGTAGGTATGAGTTATTGAAACATTCTAAGCTCAAACATGGACATTTTGGGGCAAGGTTCAGGCATCCTTGTGTATACAATACATGTCCTTGCACATTTAAATCATGGAATAACCTTTTAAGTCATATATACCGTGCACACGTTGATCAGTCATCTTCAAAACAAAATCAGTTAGCTACATTTTCATGTCAGCTGTGTACATGCATTGAGTCAAATGAAAGAGATTACTTTAGTCATCTAAATGAACATCTGCGTAAACATGAAACTGACTTGTGTATTTAAAGAGTGTACATTTAAAAGTAACATTTATAACACATTTCATACACACAAAAATAGGAAGCACAATCCACATTGTCTAACTGACTTTAAATTAACTGTTGTCACAGTCACTGTAGACTGTCAAGAGTCAGCCAGTTCTCCCATTGATTTACCCACATGTTCAACAGAATTTGTGTTAGAGTCATGCAATGATGCTAATACTGATGAAGATGTTTTTAAGGGAAGTGTTTTTAATATTGCCCTTGTTTTATTAAAGTTGGAAAACATTTTGCATGTCCCAGCCACCGTAGTTGATGAATTACTTCAGGAACTACATTATTCATTAACTTCAGCATCAAATCAAGTCACTTGTAGCATAATTTCTGACATTTTTAAAAATCACAACTTAGAAATTGATGAATTTGTCATTCAAGAGCTTTCTGAAGCAGCAGGCAGGTCAAATCCCTTGGTTAAAGCCATAGAAAAAGGTGGTCCCCTTGCCACTGCTTTCAAGCGGAAGCAATTCTACAAAGAACATGTAACAGTTGTAGAGCCAATTGAGTTTATCCTTAATCAAAAAAGTCGAAAAACCTATCACTATATACCAATTTTGCCTTCTCTTCAGCTGTTGTTTAGTTGCAGTGATATTTTACAGTGTGTTATTGGGGACCACGAGAAGCAAAAAACTGATTCAGGGGCAGACAAAGAACAGCAGTATAGGTCAATCAGAGATGGACTTTATTGCAAGGAAAACACATTTTTTTGTGGAGAGGAATTAAAAATATCACTGTCATTGTACATTGATGATTTTGAACTCTGCAACCCCTTAGGCACTTCACGTAAAAAGCATAAACTTTGTGGGGTCTACTGGATTTTGAATAATTTGCCACCTGGATGCAGCTCCACACTTTCATCTATCTATCTGGCAGTTTTATGCAAGACTGAACATGTAAAGTCATATGGATATGGTACAATTTTGGAGCCCCTTTTACAGGAATTGATTACTTTAGAGAGTCACGGTGTCTACCTTCCAGGGCTTGGACGGTTTGTGAAAGGTACAGTCCAGTCTGTCATTGCAGATAATTTAGGGGCCCACAGTTTAGCAGGCTTCATAGAAAGCTTCTCTGGTGAGTACTTTTGCAGGTTCTGCATAGGGAAGAGATTGGAGATTCAAGCTGAATCTGTTCTGACTGGCGACTTTGCCCTTAGAACAAAGGAAATTCATGATGCACATGTAGCATCTGCTAAAGAAAACTGTAGCATTTTGTGGAGTAAAAAGAGGTTGTGTGTTAACAGAGAATTTATCTCACTTTCATGTTACTAGAGGCTATCCACCGGATATTGCACACGACCTGTTTGAGGGTATTGTACCATTTGAACTTGCACTTTGCTTGAAAGAGTTTGTTTCCAAGAAGTACCTGTCTCTTGATACTCTAAACTCATTGATTTTGAACTTCCCTTATAAGTGGGGTGATAAAACCAATAAACCACACGTTATTCCATATACATATGCCTCCAAGAAGACAATTGGAGGTAACGCACATGAAAATTGGAATTTAATGAGATTGCTTCCATTCATCATTGGAGACTTGATACCAGAGACTGAGCCTGCTTGGATCATACTTCTTGATTTGAAAGAAATAGTTGAACTTGCTGTAGCCCCTATTCATAACGAAGAAACAGTAGTCTACTTAAACTGCAAAATTGTAGAGCACAGACACAGATTTGTTGAACTTTTTCCAGCACAACTGTTACCAAAACATCATTATGTGGAGCATTATCCACAAATGATTCAGTTTTTTGGACCTCTAGTAGGGCAGTGGACTATGAGGTTTGAGGCGAAACATAGCTTCTTTAAGAAAGTAGCTCGCCACACAAATTGTTTTAAAAACATAACGCTCACACTGGCTGCCAAACACCAGCAAATGATCGCTTATCAGATCCATTCTTGTAGCCTTAAGAAGTCCAGACTAGAAGTTACTAGTGTCTCCACACTTTGTGTGGATGTTTTAAACAAGGAAGTGGTAGAAGGCTTAAGACAGAAATATCCAGGGATTAATGAAGTTCATCTGGCAAAAAATGTGACAAACAATGGAATAAATTATAGAACTGGTATGCTGATTTCGTTTGGGTAAGCAGGTGGGCTCCCAGAGTTTGCTGAAATTCTTCAAATCTGTATTGTCAAAAGCAGACTGAATTTTGTTGTGAAGGTACTGTGTGCATGGTATCAAGAACATTTTAGAGCTTTTCAGTTAACTGTCTCTCCTGATAGAGAGGTTGCCCTGGTTGATTTAGATCAGCTAACGGATGCTTATCCACTGTATGATTATATGGTAGGAGGAAGACGAATGGTGACCCTGAAGAGGCACATCCTCATTTAAGGTAATGTATTTATCAAGTGTTTTGTGTATAATAAGTAATAAAATTGTATTACTGACTTTGTCATATTCTGCTTCATACCCTCTTATAGAAAAAAGAAAGATGTCGAGTCCAGTCAATCTAAGGATTGTTTTTGGTGGGGATGAAGATGCAAGAAAGCTTGCACTTAAGACAGGAATCCCAAAGTCTGTGGATGAACTTGTCCTTGAAATAATGACTGTTTTTGGTGTAAAGCAAAATTTCAGGCTCCAGTACAAAGATAAGGACTTTGGAAATGAATACATGAATCTCACATCAACCACTCAAATTGAAGACAGGGATACCCTGAAAGTGATTTTTCTGTCAACTGATGACTTTAACTCCTGCATGCATGAGACTGCACCTGGGGCCTGGTTTTTCAAAAGTAATCCACTAGGATTTTGGATAAGGGATTGGATCAAATCTTGAAAATGGGTTTTTCAAAAGAAAAAACGGATTACATAATCGGATATTATTTAAATCGGACGTTTTAATTAAAATTCATTTAAAACAAAAACATGCAGTCACACATCCAAGTGTAAAGTTCATGTAAAAGTTTTATCAAAATAAACTGTCAAATCATACTTACAGTTGAGCTCAAAAGTTATAAGAGTAATAACTTAGAGTAATATAATTATAAGAGTAATAACAAAATGTGTGTTTAAAAGTACATACCTAAATATTATGGCCAGACAGAATCTGCTAAATATTTTTGCTATTTCTGCTGGGACTTTTGTAAAAAATCTGCGGAATGATTTTAGGATTATCATAACTAAAAACAGATAAAAACTATATATATATATATATATATATATATATGGAATAAAAAATTATATCTTCAATTTTATTTAATATTTACAATGCAAATCAAATTAGATCCACTTATTTGGTAAACAAAGCAAGTATCTCATATATCTATTAATGTTTCTACTGAAAGGCAGAAAATACTACTTTACCAACTGTAAATAAATCATATGAACATTTTAATATTACTATTATTATATTACAATAATATTAGTAAAATGAATTTAAAAACTGAGTAAATCTAAATGTACACACATTTACACAATTAAATACAAAGACTCAATGATGGGCTAAAAATCTGTAGAAAACTGCTGATTTCTGCGCACGCAGATTCCGTGTGGGCCTACTGAATATGTTTCAGACAAAATAGAAAATCATATTTTGATTAAAAAATTCCCCTATATAAATTTTATATATTTGATTATAATGATTCTTAACCCTGGTTTAAACTGACACATGAACAAATAATCAGAATATTCACATTTTTTGGAACTGAGATGTTTATTAATCCTATAAAGATCCATTTTTATACCATATACATGTTTTTATAAATTTATTAAATATCATATTGATACATTAGGCATTTTGGTAACCTTTTGGATTTGTGCTCAAAACTAGTTCAATTTAGTTCCAAAAAAGTTGGCCCATAATATTTTGATAAAATAAAACATTTCAGGCAGTTTTTCTCTATTTTTTTATCTTAAACATTGTACAGTCTTTTTTATTTCACTTTGTGAAAGGTGTGATAGCAGTTTCAGTCAATTGTTCATGCGAAGACAGACCTTACACCCCTCACATATGCATGTGAGAAGTGATTACATTTTAAGTTCTTTTGCCTCCCATATCTATCATTTTGTTTTGACAAATGTACAAAAAGTACAAAAACAAGACATGTCAAGGTGCTATAATCATTTGGTGCGGAAAACGGAACTAAGAAGAAATTTGGGTTGGGATGAGATGTAATTCTTTACATTAGTGTGACTTTACATTAGTGTAATTATACTTTTACTATTTCATACAATTTCAGTTGCGTTCAGAACTTTGACATGTTGATGATAAAAAAAATAGAGGGGGTGGGGGGTGGGGGTTAAGGGGGGCGCAAAACTTGAAATCGCATACCCCTCAGTAAATGTGCAGTTGCGCCCCTGTGTATAGGCCTCCAGCAAAGTAGAAAGAGTTTGGCCTCATAAAATAATCCCCCAAACAGCTGTCAAAACTGACCAAAAACAATACATTTTATTCCGTCACTAATTTATATATATATATATATATATATATATATATATATATATATATATATATATATATATATATATATATATATGTATTCATGGAATGGAAAATATTCCATTCAATGGAAAATATTTTTCTTATTAGAATATTTATTAATGATGATAGCAATGATTACAGAATAAACAAAAATTCAAGAAATGGCAATGACTCAACAATTGCAAAAAGAGACTGAAAGGGCAGAGGCACAGCTTCACCTGGCAGAAAAACAACTGACTCTAACCAAACTGCAGCAAACCAAGGCCAGACTTGAGATCCCCCTCCTAAAGGATACGCTTCACATCAGATGAGGAAGTCTGAGATTATTGTGGAGTTTTTGACATTACGTCTTTTTTAAATTAACATCTATATTTGAAACTTATTATAAATATCCTCAATGTACAGTGTTTGTGTTGTAGGTCTCAGATAAGTGGACTGCTGAAAGAGGATGGGGTGGGCTTTTTCTTGTTTTTCTTATTTATTATTATTATTAATTTAATATTTATTACATTTTCTTAGTTTTAATTAAAAAAAAATAATTATATTGACCCCACGCTGGCTATTCTACTTGTCGCTCTTTACATATCTATAGTTCTACATTGTGATGTCCTATCCTGTTTGAGCACTGGTAATCCAGATTTAGTGATCCTGAAAAGTTCCTATCCAGATCAGATTGATCCAATCCAATGTTGCTTTGAAAAACTGGCTCAAAAAGTAAGCTGGATTATGTGATCACAGATCGTAAAAACAGAATTACTAAATCTGGATCAATTTGATCCGGATTAAACCTTTTGAAAAACCGGGCCCTGATGTACCGTCCTGTTCCAGCATTCTTGTTCCTTTGCACAAGACAACCTGTAGCTCTGACTCTCCTAACACAAGACATGCTAGCCCTTGTGAATTTGACTCAGTCTCAGAAGTCTACTTGTCTGAGGACTCATTTTCCAGCAGCACCGAGACTGTCTTGATTTAGTCTCCGGAGTCAAGAACCAGTTCTTGGCCTCAGGTTTTTGTAATTCCTCGTTTTTCTTGTTCTGCTGAAATTCAGCTTCAGAGAGCTGACACAGAGTTCAACAAAAGTGAAATGCTACTTATTCCACCACCAAAATTAAGATCTGACATTCTTGAAGGCATGGCTGAGGAGATCTTTAGGTATGCTGCATACCCCACTGATAGTCAGCTTGATCAGGCAGCTGAAGCCTTGATAAATGTCCACCCTTGCTTGAGGGAAAAGGGAACTCGCACTGGTCATGAAGGATGGAAACACTATCTAAAGATAAAGATGGCTAATTTCCGCTCAAAACTCAGCAAGATTGGACACCCAGAAATCACTGTAAATTCACTTAGGAACAAGTGTGAAGGTCGGGGTAAAGCAGCATCAAACATCAAAAAGCCAAAAAAGGCTGAGGTGAATTTCCTTCCCTGCCTTCCAAGAGGAGAAACAGCTGATAGTATGGAGAAGGAAAGAATTGCTCTCTTAACTGAAGTGAAAAAAAATAATAATGAGGCAGTTATAAAAGAAAAAATGCACTTGACCTTCTCCTATAGGCGACAAGAGTTGGTTGAGGACTTGCCAATGGTTTCTGATTTACAAAGTAGATGGCCTGCCCTGTTCACAGTCAATGAAGTAAGTGTTGGTGATATTTACACAATTATTTTCTAAATTTCAATTCATTTCTCCACAATACATCTACATTTCATCATCTACCTTTGCTTTATTTCTTTCAGATAAACGCAGAATTTATGAGGATAACGACTGTGCCTCTTCTGTCAAAGTTTTTCGCGCAGCTGGACAAATACACTGCTGATCTACAGAAGGTTTTCAGCAGCAAAGGAGGTGCTTCTGGACAGAAGATATCACGCATCATGACAGTTGCAGACAAGGTGTGGTAAATTGCATTACATTAAAAGATACATTAAAACTCTGAGTACATAAGTTTCACTCTCTATGTCGCGCATTTCATATGAGTTTGCAGCAGATCTAATGCTCTGTAAACTCCTTGATGAGCATGTCAGTATGCTTTTGTGGAAACAGAGTATAAACCAAAATCCTTGAACTGAAAACCCGCCTTAAAAAATTTTAAGATGTAACATTAATTTTATTTTAAATATATTTATATAAATATGGGCCAAGTTATCAATTCTCATTAATGCATTTGAAAAGTGTTTTGTCAGCAACAAATGCAAAATATTCACAAGCTGAGATCATGAGCTGAGGTTCAATGAAGCTCTCATTAATGTGATAGTTTACCCCAAAATTAAAATGACTTCATCATTTACTCTCTCATGTTTTTTTTTTTTTTACTTTTAGGAGATTCTTTTAAACACAAAAGAAGATATTTTGAAGAATGCTGGTTATTGGTACACATTGACTTCCATAGTTGGGAGAAAAAAAACATGTTAATCGTTGCCACCAACCAGCATTCTTCTAAATATTTTTTTTAGAATAGAAGAAAGAAACTCAAATAGGTGTGTAACAAGGGTTTGCTTTAAGGCTTGTCCCAACCTACTGGAAGTTTTACTTCATATTTAACATTTAACAGTAATCACTATAGTTACTATATTAGTCAATGTTACCAATAATAATAAATAACAATCACAAATGAATACAAAATTAATGTTATTTTAACAATTATTGCACAACACAAAAATGCAGCAGATTAATATCAGTCAATTTAATATGTTTTATTTTCTATTTATAGTATAGTTCTATTTTTGACCAGGTTTCAGTGTCACACATTTCTTCCACCCCATACAGACAAATAAAACAGTTTTTGTAAATCACTTTCTTTAAAACACAAAACTGCAGATTCCTACACTTTGTCAACATTGCAACATATAAAACACTCAAAAATGTATAATTGCCACAAAAAATTTACATTACAAACAGAAACAAAACTTGTTCAGAAACTTCATCTATGTGCTGGATATATTTCCAGGTCTGGGGTGTTGTTTCCTCATCAGGAATGCATCACTGGTCTTGTGATCTTACCCCCATGTTGGTTTTATATTTTAATATTGTATAATTTTGTCTAATTTTCAGTGTGGTGACATACACATCAAGCGAGATTGTGTCATACAGAGTCTGTGTGTGTACTTCAATGAGGACATGACAACAGTTGTCAAAGAATTCGAGGTTTGTATACATATGTCTAAAGAACCTAACATACATTGACAGTCTAGATGTTGCCAGTATTTAACTGAAATTTAAAAGTATTAATGTTTTATTTATTTATTGTTATTAAATTATTTAATATTTATTTACTTGTTTATTTTAGGATAGCAACC